TATCTTTTTCAAGGTTTTACCAAAAAAGATGGATCCATGGTGAAGGGGCATAAAATTCCACTGGGCCGAGTCCAGCCCGACCCATCATCCAGAGGAAGGCCCGATAATCATCCAGCCCGCTGACTCTCATTCAAGGCCTATTTTGACCAAGAGCGAGGCATGTTCTGACGGGGTGAGGCCCAAGAAGAGATCCAATCCGTTTAGGAGGGATGAAGTCCATCTTATCTTGAGGTTTGGATAAGACCAGAGGATTCTTAGGGCAAGTAGAGACTTGTAGAAAAGGGCAAGAGATGTAAAAAGATTCCGAGGGTAAAAAATAGACTTTCCTAATATAGAGCAATTTTCTTGTACATTCACATGCATTAGTGAGCAAAAAGTCCTTCCATTTTGGGTACAGTCATCTATATATTAGCAAAAGCTTATGAGAGGGTGCAAATGGAGATATTTTGTAGCAATATTAATAATGTTGAGGAGGTCCGGATTTCATAGTGAAGTCATATGTATATAACAAGAAGGCATAACGAAGTTACGTTGCTAGTGGCATTCAGCTCGCTTGAGATGGGTATGGGAAGAGGCTTTGAAATTTCAGAATGAAATCAAAAATTAAATATTTCGGCGCCGTTTGTTTCGACGTAAAATATTTTTTTCAGAAAATAATTTCATTTTTTATGTAAAATAATTTTTTTATTTATACTTTTCAGTATTTGACAAAAATTTAGGTCGAAATTGAGGTCGATCCTTGGGGTGAGAAATTCTTATGATATAAAGTTAGTGTTCAATAAGGAGGAAAAAAAAAAAAAAAAAGTATTCAGGAATTTAACAAATAAAGTTTTTTTTTTTTCCCAATAAATAAAGGTACTGGGACTGACAATTTATCCAAGATTTGTGGGTTGAGTGTGAGATGAAGTTTTGGAATATGAAAATAATCAAGCTCTTGCTACCTTTTAGTTTGCTGGCAAGTGTGGAAAGTAATAAATGAGGTGGTCTATAAAGGAATGGAATTGTGGGCCTGAGAGATAAGGGATAGCTGGGGTTAGGGATGGCAACCGGTGGATTGGGGCAGGGACGTTATCCTCATTTTCGTTCAGCATAGTTATTTCTATCTCCATCGAAAACAGTTTATTAAATAGGACGGGATCGGAATGGGGAAAGATTATCTAGAGTAATTGCGTAATTGTAGTACGAATCTAACGAACTTAAATAATTAATGAAACAATGTTTTAACCACATGGTAGTAATTCTTTTTCTCTTATGCCGGCAAAAATAAGACTCAATTTATCAATTGGAACTTGAGACTTAATGTAATTGTAGGATTATGAAAATAATATATAGAAGTTCTCAAATAAGAATAATACAAAAGGATATTTAGTGATTGAAATAGAATAAATAATTATTTGCTTAATATATAACTAATTTAAATTATTGAATATTAAAATAGAGAGGCGATATTCGCACTCCACTTTTCCCCTGTGACGTTCCGAATTTTTACAAATCCGGATAAGTCAATGTAACCCGAAAATTGATCCGATAACGGATCCGAAATTCAGAAGCGAAAACAAAACACAAAGTCGATGAAAAGAAAACAAATGCAGAAATAAAACGGTAAAAATAGACCAAGTATGCCCCAAGGGCAAAATGATCATTTCACATGTAAACAAAGTCTCAACTCTCAAGAGATGTATGTCATTCCTAAGACACAAATATGGCTTCCTATGAAGTCACGGAACTTAAAAAAGAACAAAATGCGGAAGCGAAATTTTAAAAATGGACAAGCTTAGCCCTAGGGGTAAAATTGTAATTTTTAAAAAGTTATGGGTTCTACCTAGCACACCATTGGATAGACAGTGAAAAATTAACGAAGTAAGACTCAAAAATCACCTGATTCGGAAACCGAACGGAGGAGAATAGGCGAAAATAAAATTGGGCGACGCCGCGGCTCAGGGGCACCATACACTTGCATTTCACTTGCCTTTTTCTTTTAAATAAAATGACAAAAATGTCCCTAAACTCGTTAATGTATCATTTCTTATTTTAAAATACCATTATTGTCCTTTATAATGTAAATTTTAAATTCTTCTGCTTTATTTATTTTCTTTAGTAATTTTTTTATCTTGTCAAAAGAAATATCCGTACTCCACTTTTCTCTTGTTATCAATCCCTATTTCCACACTTCAATCATATCTACAAAAGTTGAAAATTTTAGTAACTTTTTTTTATCTTGTCAAAAGAAATATTCGCACTCCACTTTTCTCACTCCACTTTTCTCTTGTTGTCAATTCCCATTTCCGCACTCCAATCATATCTACAAAAGTTGAAAATTTTACTTAATAAAATCGTAGACTTTTAGATTTGAAAATTTACAACATTTACAAACTAAAATTTCCAATACATATGTGTGGTCGTTATGTGACTATTTGTTGCAAACACCAACTTTCGACCAGCCACAACCAGTTTTTGGCCAATTAATTTCTGGTCAACAAGATTCTGACCAACCAGGCTTAATACGATTTGACATCAATACAGACTTTATTTTATTCTACTGCTTCCTTCAATTCTTCCATGACTTCCATTAAGTTCAATGGTAAGAACTATATTTTATGAGCCAAATCTATTGCCATCTTTCTCAAGGGCAAGGGACTTGGCAACCATTTGGTTGGAGATAAACCGAAATAATCTTATTCTTCCTTCGGTGTATACCATGTATGGTTAAAAAAGGATGCCCATATCATTTCCTTGATTTTAAATTGTATTGAACCCCAAATTAGTTTCACATTCCTTTACTTAGATACTACCAAGGAAATATGGGAACGGTTACAGTAATTATATTCTGGGATAGGTAATGTTACTCGTGTATATCAGTTTTGTAAGGACTACATTAGTCTTGAAAAGAGTAATCAGAGTTTAGAAGCGTATATGAGTTGTGTAAGGACTACATTAGTCTTGAAAAGAGTAATCAGAGTTTAGAAGCGTATTATTCAAAATTCATGAGAGTCTATGAGGAGTTGAATATGTACTAACGTATCGCTTCTAATGTTCAAAAAATGCAATAACAACACCAGGACCAAAATGTTGTTCGATTTCTTATTGTGAAATATCTTTCGGATGGTTCTATTAAGCGTTTAAAAGCATGTCTAGTTGCTAAAGTCTATGCGTAAACTTATGGTGTTGATTATGATGAGATGTATACCCCGGTTGCTAAAATTTCATCTGTTCGTGTTTTGATTTCTCTTCCTACTAATCTTAACTAGCCTCTATTTTAGTTCGATGTTAAAAACACTTTTATACATGGTGACTTAGCCGAAGTGGTCTGTATGGAGCAACCACCTAGTTTTGTTGCTTGGGGGGTAGGGTATCATCATAGTGTTTGTTGTTTAAAAAATGCTTTGAATGGTTTGAAACAATCATTAAGAGCGTGGTTTTGCAAATTCTCTAAAGCAGCATTAAAGTTTGGGCTTCGACGATACCAGATCGTTCAATATTTCATCAGCATACTAAGGTAGCTGGGTTTTATATTTTTTGTTGTATATGTGGATGACACTTTTATTACTAGTAATGACAAAAAGGGTAATGCAAAATTAAAGTAGTTTTTTTGGGAATTGAGGTTGCTTGATGAGGTATTAGTTTATCGAGGAAATATGTACTAGACTTGTTAGAGGAAACAAGTGTATTAGGTGGTCGTCCGGCTGATACTCCTATAGATCATAATCACAAACTCTTGTCTAATGATGAAAATCTTACTAATAATGATTCGGGTTCTATCAAATTGCTCAAGAGTGAGTCTAACTAAAGAAGTCTGAATTGAGACTGTAGCCAATCAAAATCAAGAAAGCATCTTGAGATATGACCTAGAGGGGGGTGAATAGGTCGATTTTCACTTTTTGGCTTATTCTGACTTAGTTGTAAATTCGCACAATTTTTTAATCAATTGAATGCAAAAGATAATATATCAATGATATGTTAGTATAAATACTGATTGTAAATTTAATTATTTAGTACTCAATATTCAATATAAAGCCCTTGACCCTTAATTAAATAAAATTAGATTTAAATAAAATAATTTTTTTAAACAAACAAATAAAATAAATTTGATTTAATAAACAAACAAATAAATAATCAACTATCCCCTAATTGATTTAACCAACCTTATAGTGATTTGTTATATCTGGTTAATTATTTTAATCACTTAAGCATATATGTGAAATAATTTCATCATTATAATCATATAGATATATACACATAGGAGAGGAGATGTCACTGTCTCCTCCTACTCACAAATTTCCCAAACCTGTCTCTTGCTTTTCTTTTCTTTTTTTCCCTGCAAACCCTAAGTTCAACACTATTTAACTCTTTTTTTTCTTTTCTTTTTTTTAAACATTCGAAAATAAAAACACTATTTAACTCTATTTTTTTATTATTTTTCCTAATCTTTTGATTTATTTAGCATTTTATGTAAAGCGTATCCAATACAAATAGATACTTAGCCATTGAGTTATGTAAATACAAGTTTTTGAGCATGAAACATACTGCCTAATTAATAATGTGTATGTATTATTTTATTTTTTCTCCCTAATAATTTACCGGAGAAAATTACAAGTGTTCAATAAGTGTTGTGAGAAACTAATTACCACTATCATGGACCAAAAATTATATATAATAGTAACAATATTAATGATAATGATAATAATGTGTATATTATACACACACACAACGCACAAAAATGTGAACACGAAGGCTTGTGGGCATGGAGAGGCATCTTACATAACTGTCGTGTTTGGTCAGCTCTTAATTTTATTGCTTTTTCTTTATGTTTTTTGGTCTTTTCTTGGCTAATATCCAAACGTGTAATGACGCAAGCTCAAACGGTTCTAGCTTTTTATTTCTTCTTGGGAAACGAAATTATCCATATAGCTAACTCTTTGTATAAAAGGCAGAAATGGGTTACTCTATCCAATATGCACATTCCATCCATCCTATTATATATATAGAGATAGATAGAGAGAGAGAGAGAGAGAGAGATGGCTGGTGCAGTTGCTAGAGGGGCACAAACCATGAACTTCATGTCTCTCAAGTAAGATCTTTATTTCAATTTTTTTCTTTTTTTTTTTCCAAAAAATTTCATTTCTACCCTTTATATTCAAAACTTAAAATGGACACAATATCATCTTATTATTATGTCACATGGAGTGGAAGCAATTAGTATTATTATTGTTGTTTATTTATTATTTTTATTTTTAAAAAAATGATTATCATCTCTCCTTTTCAAGATGTGTTAGCTTTACACAATGACCATCCTATATTCAGAAAAGTTCCTTACGAAACTTTATGTTTCGAATCCCTCCTCCCCACCCGATATGTACTTTTATATATATATATATATATATATATATATATATATGTGTGTGTGTGTGTGATGTTAATAATATTCAATATATATATTGAATATATATTGAATATTATTAACATCACACTTAATTATCTGTTAAAATAAGAATATGTAAAATAACCTATTCTTTAATATTATTTTGTACAAAATAATTATTTTCAAGAATTAGATACATATTAATCTTTGACTCATTATATTTATTTAGTTTGATAAAAGCGGAACTGGTATTGCAAGAGGTATATTTGGTATAACCTAATTTTTAACAGTATTTGTATAAAGCTACTATTTTGAAGAATCAGACACATATTAATCTTTTTATTTACTCAAGTTTGGTGTCACGAAAAAAAAGTAAAATAATGTTATTTAAGAAATAATAATAATTACTATTATGGAAATAGTAATGACATCACTCATTTTAACAAAACTTTGTCAACTAGAACGATTTTGGTCTGCGTGGTGGCCAAGAAGTTTGTTAAGTTGGTCGGTGCTTGAGTGGAGAAAGTATTAAATACTCTGAAAGTATGATACCAGAGATGACCGGTGCCGTTGAATTATTAATGTAAATCCCAACACATCCAAGAGCTGGAATGTATTTACAATATTTTCTCGACCGATTGGGATAAGCACTTTCCTATTTTACCCTTTTCCATCCTTAACCAAGTAAAGAGCATGTCAAAAGGGTCCCACATTTTGGACGCATATTCTCCAACTATTTAGAAGATGATGATGGTTCACGTTAGTGGTCCAAACTTGAGAGTTTTTTTAGGTGGTTTTTTCGTTCCATATTAATTGTCAATTTTAAAAATTTTAATTCATAATTTTTATGAATCAAAGTTATCAAAATAGACCTTTAGTATGAGATCTAAGTAGTATATAAATATATTTAAAAAATATGACTAAAAATAATATCAAATGATTCAAAAATAAAATATGGTAATGAGTTAAAATTTTTCAAATTGACAATTATTATGAGACGGAAATAGTATTATTTTGTTTTTCGAGTGGTGAGATTTTTTTTTCACTAGATCGGACATTCTAAAATCCACCAACACCACATGGCACTGCTATTTAATTTTTGCAACCTTAAAAAAAAATTGGTGACACATCATCAGGATAATGATCATGTTTACAACAAATTATAAATATTGCAACAGTCGTCTATTGTAACTCTTTAATTTCATTCCACACCTGTTTTTTTCCTATAATTCGCAGGCCAATGCTTCGAAAATCCTACCATAGGAAAAGCACTTCTCCTGATTTAATATGTGACAATGTCAAAATGAACGGGGAGGAAATGAGAAACAAGAGCCTAGTCGGAGACCGAGACGGTAATTGGTGGCTTCCCGATGATCGGACAGGGATATATTTTCCCAAGGGCCAAGAGAAAATAATGGAAGATGTTCCTCCCACAGCGGGAAAGGATTTTGGAGTCAATTGGCTTTCCAATAATGAGATCTAATTGTTTTAAACCATATGAGTTTCTATTTGAATTGAGAAGACTCTATTTTTCTTAAATATGTGACCCTTTTGAAGTAAAATTTCATGTTCTCCAATTTATATATGAACTTATTTATTTATAGAAAACTCGAATCAGTATAAATATATCTGATCTTTTCCTTTAAAGGCATTGATCTAATGGACTGTTCTGGATAATATATGGATTGTTATTTTTAATTGGTTAATTAATAATACTTGAGTAATGCTATTAAGAAAACTCTACAAGTAAAAGATTCTCGATCAATCATGCATTGTTAGGGTGTGGAAGGAAAAAATTTCTACTAATTCAAGGGTAATAGTTGTGTCCTTGTACACACAAATTTCGTAGTCTGCAAATAAAGAACAAAATATGGAGCAAATGGTAATTTATTGATTTATGAACATTCGAGTACAATCCTTTGAGATATTCTTTACAAAAGAAAGAACTTGTCCTCTGATTCGATTTCCTTTGTTGGTTGGATTCAAGGGCTGTTGGAGCTTGATCTTGAATCGGGTTGTTGACAATCTTCTTCAAGTATTTGTAGTTGAAGAAGATCGCCGATTATTTCTAATCGAGGGCTGACGAAACTTGATCTCGAACAATGTTATTTGATGATTCTTTGAACTTGTTGAATCGCAAGGAAAAGAACGGCACGATTTTGATGTATTTGTTGTCCTTTGTTAAATTTGAGGAAGAAAGGCACGACTTTGGATTGAATGTGTTTGTTGTTCTTCGTCTTCAGAAAATTTGTAGAAGAACGACACAGCTTTGGTTTTGCTTGTTGTTCTTTGCCTTCAGAAGATTTATTGAATTTAATGAAGAATGGCATGGCTTTGGTTGTGCTTTTTGTTGATCACCGTAAAATTTTGATAAAGAACGGCATGATTTGATGTGCTTGTTGGTATTCGCCTTCAGGTTTGGGTATTGGGGATGAATATTGGCAGAGTTTCTGTATTTCTCTCTGGAATTCTCGATTTCTAGAATTCCCAATTTTTCTCCCTCTGGATTTCTGGCCCTCTGGATTTTTGAGTCTCTTAATTTCTGGGCCTCTGAATTTCTAAGTCTCTAGATTTCTAGACCGTCTGGATTTCTGGACTCTGAATTTGTTTACCCTCTGGATTTATGAGTCTCTGAATTTCTGGACCTTCTGGATTTCTGAGTCTCTGAATTTCTGTACTCTGAATTTGTATCTCTTCCTCCTTCCTCCAAGCCTCTATTTATAGGCTTCTTGGATTAATAGGATAATAACACGTGTCCTCTCCTGATAAGGAAAAAAATCATAAATGAGCCGGGCCGGGTATATTATGATAATTTTCCTTAAAAATAATTATTCCAAATATATTTTATTATGAATAATTATCTTTTTATTTAACCATCTGGGTTTGGCTAATTAAATAATTTAAGTGGACCAAGCTTAGGCCAATTAAATAACTTAATTAAACATTAATTTATATTTAATGGGTCAATTTGTCAAAATAAAAGTCTATTAAATTTTTAATGTTTACAAATTGCCCCCACTTCGAGTCCCAAGTTTGACAGGACTTGTCTCCTTTTTCAAGTGGGACTTGAAGTATCCAACTTGATCTTTAAATTTGTAAAGTTTCCTTTTTCGCTTTTCTATCTAACTTTGGATTGTAAGATTTTTCTTTCCAATTTGAATTGAATTATACAAATCCTAATACAAATAGGAGGTATTTTGTTGCCTATATATACCACCAATGTTATGGGGTTTGACATAAATTCTAATAGCCTCTGAAGACTTGTCAGATTACAATCTCTGAAGACTGTGTTGGAGTGCGGCCTCTGTTCGAACAAATACCACATATAATTAGTACGCTTTTTTTTTTTTTTTTTTTTCTTCTTTCCTTTTTTTTTTCACGATGGATTTTTTTTTTTTTTCCTTCCGTTTTTTTTCACACTGGATTTTTTTTTTCGCTCTGAATTTTTTTTTTTTCACGCATCTTTTCTTTCTCTCCCCTTTTTTTTGTCTTTCTCTCTTTTTTTTTTTTTTTTTCTTCTCTCACGCATTTTTTTTTTCACGATTTTTTTTCATGACCCCTTTTTTTTCACTCTTTTTTTTTTAGAATTTCCTTGATAGATTTTTAGAAAAACTTAACCAAACATCAACTGGTTCTATTGTTTTTTTTTTTTCAACAGAAGCAGAGATTGGAATCACCTTGACAAAAGAGTTAAGTTTCTGTACCTATTTTGTTTTCAACCATAATCGCCAATGGAGATTTCCATTCACTAGTCTTTCGCTATACCAATCAAAGAGCCGTGTTAATGGAGTTTTGCTATGCAGATCAAAGCCCCGCCTACAACCAACAATGGAGCAATCAAAGACTCACATACAACCATCAATGGAGCTTTAAAGACTGATGGATGCCTTTATCTATATGAACAGACCCATACTTGCCACATGAAGAGGTGGTTCGACATGGAGTTTTTTTTTTTGCAAGACTTCTTAAAAATCAACTCTCCAGTTATGAATGCAAGAACGACACAAAAGCTATTCCATGCAGTCAACACCGACTCCAATCAACTTTGCCTCAAAGCTAGCCTTTTCCCTTATTTGTGGGGGTCAACCTTGATCAGTAATTTAACTGAATCCATCTCTTCCACCAGAAGCTTTCTTCTCAGCGAGGACAACCACGATCCACAGGTCTTCAATCACGCTGTCATAGAGTGGGGTTCCAGTTTGTTGCTGCTCTCATGAAACAACGAACTGTATTTAAATTTATTTTCTTGAGCTTCAAACATATCAACCGTTTTGCAAGAACTTTCAATGTTTTAGCTGACAATTCAATCAACACAAGGTGGTTGTACCATGTCCTCCTTCATGTTCATACGAGGCAAATAAATATACCTATCCACATTCATCTGCAATGAGACACATTCAAGAGGTTTTTTTTTCACATGATCTTGGTTGCAACGTGATCCACCTTCTGATAGAAAGATCTAAATAGAAGCATTCTTAGATGAGAAAGTGATGATGAAGCCGATAGACCGCAATTTGTTAACACAACTATCAAAAGGAAACACACGATGGTAATCGATCCATGATACTCGGGCCACAAGCACCATGACGAGAAGTTGTTACAAATGCTGTAAGGATGTAACAGACGAAGCTTGCATGCCTATGCCTGCGTATGGTGATTTGTTTTTTTACTTCAACAATATCTTGGCGACGCCGTGAATTTTCCTTGACGCAATACCTCAATAGAAAACCAAATTTCTCTTTTAACAACACCTCGATGGTGAGTCAAAATTTTGTTGCAGCAACACTTTGGCGATGACCCAGATTCTTCAGCGACACCTTGGCGGCAAGTCAATTTTTCTTATTTCTTCCAACCACATCTCGATGACGAACAAAAAATTTTTCTTCAACGATGGCTCAACGAATAGCCAAAGATCTTTTTCAGCAATACCTCAGCGGTGAGCAGAATTTTTCTTGGTATCTACAGTCTGGCGATGAACCAATTTATTTCTTCACAGCTATACTTTGCCGGATTAAAATTTCCTTTATAGCTACACTTTGGTGGCATGCCAAGTTGACAGGTGCGACGACCACTTTTGATATCGCATGATGAGTGACAACATCTTAATAGCGAGCCAAGTTGAAAATTTGTGACGAGCGAAAACAATATCATGACAGTAAGCCAAGTTGATTAATTGCGACTAGTCCTTTTGATATATCGTGACGAAAACACTTTGCCATTTTGCAACTCTAAGGAGTTTTTTATTTTAGCGTTGCACTGAACTTAGAATAAAATTCTAAGCTGCCTACGTACCCTCAAAAGAGGGATCAAGTCATTACGTAGTTCAATAGAAAGAAGAGATTTTTTTTTTTTTAGGTAGACAATTTAAGCTCGTGTCAAGGAGTGTCAATTTTTTTTTTTTTTTTTTTTGGGAGACAGTTTAAACTCGTATCAAAGAGTTCTTAATTTTTTTTTTTTTTAAGTAGATAGTTTATACTCATGTCAAGGAGTTCTTGATTTTTTTTAGGTAGATAATTTAAACTCGTGTCAAGGTGTGTCATTTTTTTTTATTTTTTTGGGAGATAGTTTAAACTCATATCAAGGAGTTCTTGATTTTTTTTTTTCAGGTAAACAGTTTAAACTCGTGTCAAGAAGTGTCATCGACAGTTTAGGCTCGTATTTGGGAGCACTTCAACTTTAATTATTCTTCAACTTTGCAAGAATCAGACGGCAATCCAAGCTTATACTGGAGGGCGCGGACTATCTCGTTGTCATTTTGAGGATTTTCTTCTTGGTGTCCTTGACTTAATCCCCATGTGATTATGCACTTTCAGATGAAGTCATTGTTGTAGTTTGGTGCGTTTCTTGATGCAAGTCTTTCGAGATGATGCTTATAATGAAAGCTGAAGCTACTTCATCATCCAAGTTATGAAGTATATTGTTTTCTTCTTCGAACTCACTTCCCTCATCTTCTTGAAGGTTGTCGGGTATATCTGGAACATCTTTCCTAGCACCATGATTTTTCATGCTAAGCTCCATGTCGTGGGCTCGAGTAACAAACTCTTCAAATGTGCGAGGCTTAATCCCTTGTAGGATGTAAAGAAACTCTCAGCACATGCCTTGCATATATGCTTCAACTGCAGAAATCTCAGACAAACGATCCTTGCAGTCAAGACTTAGAGCTCGCCAATGATTGATGTAGTTAACCATGGATTCACCCTTCATCTGTTTTGTGTTTATAAGCTCCAACATACTTACAGTACAACGAGTGTTGTAGAAACGGTTAAGAAATTCTCGTTCCATTTGCTCCTAAATGTCAATACCTCTAGCTTTAAGGTTTATGTACCAATCAAATGCATTCCCTTTGAGGGAACGAACGAATTGCTTGACAAGGAGATCTCCATTTGTACTAGCAGTGCCGTAAGTTTCTACAAAGTGTGCGACATGTTACTTGGGATTGCCTTTTCCGTCAAACTGTTGAAGCTTTGGAGGTTGATACCCACCCAGCATTTTTAAGATATCAATTCTTTCTGTGTAAGGCTTTGTGCACATGCGAGCAC